AGCAGGAAAGTGAGTGCTGCTGTGCGGCTCTGCAAAGGAGGTGGGTGAGCGGAGAATTTTTTGTGCAGAGCCACACATACTTCCTTAAAGGGAAGTATGATTGGAACCCTGTTAGAGTTTGGGCCTTTCCACCATCTCCTGGGAAAGGGGTTGACTGTGAAGAAATAACTTATTTTGTTTGTTTTAAATCTGCTGCCTGTGAATTTCATTGGGTCAGCTTCTTGTTATGTTAGTGAAGGAATAAATAGTATTTCCCTATTCCATTTTTCCACATCATGCATGATTTTCTAGACCTCTAACATATCCCCCCACTCCTTAGTCACTTTTGCAAGCTGAAAAGTCCCAGTCTTGTTAATTTCTCCTCATATGGAAGTTGTTCTTTACCCCTAATCATTTCTGTTCCTCTTTTCTGTACCTTTTCCAAATCCAATCTCTCTTTTTTTAGATGGGGTGACCAGATCTGCATTCATTATTCAAGATGTGGGCATACCATAACTTTTTATAGAGGCAATATGATATTTCTAGTCTTATTATCTATTCCTTTCCTAATGGTTCCCAATAATTTGTTAGCTTTTTATCTTTTAGATTGCCACTGCACAGGGAGCTATCCACATTGATTCCAAGATCTCTTTCTTGAGTGGTAACAGCTATCTTAGACCCCCATCATTTTTGTATTTATAGTAGGGATTATACTTTTCCATGTGCATTACTTTGCATTTATCAATATCGAAGTCCATCTGCCCTTGTGTTGCCCAGTCACTTGCTTTTGTGAGATCCCTTTGTAACTGTTTGCAGTCAGTTTTGGACTTAACTATTTTGTGGTATCTGCAAATTTTGCCACTCTCCTGTTTACCCCCTTTTCAAGAACATTTATAAGTTTAACTGTACAGGTCCAAACCCCCCTTCTTTTAAGTGGAGTACCCGGCAATGTTCATGATGATTTAATGATCCTTCAATTCTTGTTATTTTGTTGTTTTTGTTATTTTTAACCACCCACCTCTCTCTTTTTATAACAAACTCCCTGCCCCAAAGGCAAAGCTGCCATCAGCTCAGACTTCCTTGCATGTAAGAACTATCTCTGGAGGCAGAGCATGGGCTTTAAGCAGACCTCAAGTATAGAATCCAGAGGTTCAAACTTTAGAGGGGGGTACTGCCTCCCCTAGGCCCCATAAATGGCATCCTTTATTTTAAAAGGCTTTCCCATTTTCAACTAGGTGCTTTTGTGGCTTGCAGGTAAAGTGTCATTGCAGGGAGTCTGTTGCTTGTGGATATTCTAAGTAGTGTGTTTTTGTAGCCTTTCATAGAGCTACATATCCCTTCTGTCCTCCAAAAAACTCCAGACTTTTCAGCCTGACCAAGATATATACAGCTTTAATGATCTTACTCCATTGGCAACATACATGAACCTCTTGTAATGCCTGTAGAGAGATATGGGAGATCTTTGTCTTTTTAAGTGAGAGTGCTGTCATGCCCATGTTCCTTAATGATCTGTCTAGCCTACTGTGTATTATACTCCCACTCCTGTTAGGGCAGGGAGAGTGCAAGGTGCCCCATTATAACTTTCCTAAACAACACATGCTCTGTCTAGAATGCAGCACAAATTGGGAAGAGCAGGCTGTCCTGAAGAACCCAGCCAGTGTGGAACTGAAGAGGTCTGTGTGCAGCTTTTGAGGCAAAGCATTTGCTGAATCATACTTTTCTGAAGAAAATATTTGGCATTTTAACACAATCCCTCTAGCAACTTCAGTCACAAGCCATCACTAAGCTGCTTGGCCAGCTGAACTTTGTCTGGATTTGCATCTGCAGGGTGGGCTCTCGCTCCCCATAGTCCTTTGTATGAAGGAATTACTGACATTAAATGTGTATAATCCTCTGTATTCAGGTTAGTAATTTTATTAGGGTAAAACTATTTTATTAATGTTGAGATGTCTTAAGCCTTGCTCACCCTCACCACTCATCTCCCTGCCAGAGAAAGCAGGGACTGGCATACAAAAAATCATAAAGATTTGGAGGCGCACTGTACATATGTTTTATCAACTCCCTAACCTGTGTTGCCAGGAAGGGGAGCCGCAGTCTGCAAGCAGACAGGGTATTTTGTTTCAGACAAAATCAGAAACAGATGAGCGATGGGGCGGGCCTAATTCTCCTTCCTCTTGTTCTATTTTCTTTTTTTGAGGGTATAACTCTGTGACTCTCATGGAATTACTCTTGATTTAAACCAGTGTAAATGAGAGGAGAGGCAATCCCACTAGATGATTCAGGGAAACAATCACTGATTAGAATATACAGAATGGTTAGAAATTATATGCCTAGCCCTAAATGTAAAACCTCTATACCACGAGTAAGTGCAAGAGAGCCTTAACATCAGAGAGCACTTCTAAGGAAGTGGAAAATGATTTACCTGATTTATCAAGGTTACTTCTATGGCACTAGCACGCACAATTTCCATGTTCCCAGAGGAAGCCTTAGCCTCGCTGTGTTTGCAGTTTACACTTGCACAGGTGAAATGGAACCACAGCATGAGAGTAAAAGCTGGCAAGTGCTTTCAGTGAGGATGACAAGTGCAGCACAGCAGGGGAAGGCAGGAAAACCTGAACCTGCAGAGAGGGGCTTTCACTGATGGTGAAGTTCACCCTTGTGCAAGGAGCCTGGCACCAGGGCCAGCCAGCACGAGTAGCTTAAGAGGGATCTAAGTGATGACAAGACTTTGCACTGTTACTCTGAACAGGGTGAATTTCACCCCCCATGTGAACTTCCACATAGCTAATAGAATTGGTGCACTCATCTTTTTTGATAAAAGCAATAAACTGTTAGTAAGTAAATGGCATGCAAGTAATGGAGGAAGTTCATGCAAATGACGTACCGATGTTGCACCTTACTTAGGGAGAATTCCGAGTTCATTTTTATTTGTCTTGAGTGTCCATTGCATCTGGACACCAGAGATGAGCTATAAATTAAACGCCTGTAAAAGCTACTCGCTTGGGACAGCCAAATAAACAATCCTGCAGGAGATCAATAGCAATACTCAACTATCAGGCTAAAAATAGCTCAGTGCTGACTGCCTGTAGTCAGAAATGGGCTGGGCTGAATAAGTGCATCTTACATGTTGCCCTGAAGTGTGTCAAACTCTGGCAAACAGCAGGAGGGAGGGAGCAGGTTTCAGGGTTGAAAGCCCTGTGTGGTGGATGACCTGCTTCTGGCTCTAGAAAGGTGCCATTAAGTAGGGAGGAGAGTTCCCCCGGCTGATTTCATCTGTTGTAATGGGATGTTTTTCAAGTATCCAGATCCCAACCTATTCAAGGCATTAGGGATCTAAAAGCATGCAAATGCCTCAGACCATGGTGATTTTGCACATTTTTTGCTGTGAGTTGTTTTCAGTGTAGAATTCTGGAGGCTGGACCAGAATTTTTCAGTTTCTCATTTGCCTTATTCTTTCTTACCACTCTATGTAGGGTGGAGGACCAGAGGATTTCAGCAATCTCCCACCTGAACAAAGAAGGAAGAAACTCCAGCAAAAGGTTGATGAGCTAAATAAAGACATTCAGAAGGAGATGGATCAAAGGTAGGCCTAACCACGATACAATGTGCGGAACCTTTTTTGGGTCAGGGACCCACAGAAAAATCAGTCGGGGACTGCATACAAGCAAGAAGCCAAAAAAAACCAATCCTCACTGACATGGCCCCCAACTGAGAAGCAGAAAGACACTCCCCATTGTCCCCTCACATGACCTAGGGTGGCCCAGCCTACTAGATTTTCTGTGCTTCTGCCCTGTAGTGAGACAGCAGGGGGGATGGAGCACCAGTGCAGGCTCCCCAAGGTCAGGGGGAGCCCTGAATCTCGGGGGCTGGATCAAGACAAGCCAGGAGCTGCATCCAGCCCCCCGAGTCTGAGGTTTCCCACCCCTGAATTAGAGAGAAACTTTCATATAGCAGAACACTAGTCAGACACTAGTCTGTGAACTACCAATAGGAAGCTATTTCATTCACAGGCAACAAATACGAAGAAGATAGTAGGACACGCCCTGTGAATCACTATTGGATATGACGCTCTTGGAATAGAAGACATAAAGGGCACCAGATGACTAAAGATCATCAAGGAGACGAGCTAAAATTTCCCCATTGTCTAAGTTCTGAAATTAATGGTTTAATTATGACCTACCCAGGGAAGGTAAAAAGGAGCAAAGGGAATGGTTGCTAATTATTTCTCTGTTCCACCCACTCACTTTTGAAGGGCATTCCACCACTGATATATCAGGATAGTAAGGCAATAGCACAAGAATCTATGTGACCTGTGTAAGTGGTGTCATCACAGACAATTTTTCTTTCTGGCACAGGTTTACCAGTCTTTTTAAGTGGATGAATCATGTACTTCTGAGCCAGGCAGGAATCACAAATACTTTGTCTCTGAATATGAATCAGCCCCAACATTTACAGTACCTTAATAAAAGCTTCATCTCTGTTCAGTTTGCCAAACCACCATGTCTTTCAAGACTACTGAAATCACAGACCCCTCAGCACAGAGCACGTGGTTTATTGTAAATATATCAAGCCTTGGACGCTTTCCATTTCTGGTGTCTTTCTATTGCTCATGAGTTTAGGATTATAACAGAGATGGAAAACATTTCCTAGATTATCAGACACATTTCCCTGTAATGCAAGATACAGTCCTCTAATAGCAAATCCAATAATAACCTCCTGTTGTGTAGTGTACTTGGGACTTAGCCAAAATCTTTTGTCTTTTTTAGGCTTAGGAATCACATGCACTAGGGAGATTCCTAAAAGCAGAAATTGTTATCAGAAGGGCAGTGTTCACAAAAGTGTGAGATTGTTCATCAGTTCCCATTTTAAAAGTCTCTGTGCTCTCCAGTGTCCATTTCCCTGAAACAGAAGAGCTAATGATTCTTGCACTTTTGCAGATTCGTTATTAGGAGATTTCATTTGTTAGCGTACGTGAGAAGGAAGCACTTCAAGTGGTTCCATTTATATTGATCAGTTCTGGCTTTTCATATTTGCAGTGTACCTGTGTTTATTCACATCTTTGCTTCTGCCATTACTTTACAACAGTGGTTCTCAAACTTTTTGGCCCACAGCCCACTTTGCTCAACTCAAACCTTTCTATGGTCTACCAGCCAATCACCCATGATGACAAAATGAGTGTAGGAGCGGGCAGAGGGTGGGTGGGAGGTCTGGCCGGGATTCCGGCCAATGGGAGCAGTGGGGAAAGTCTCCATGTGAGCAGTTACCTGCACCGCCGTTTCTCCAACCGGGAGGAGGGGATGTGGCAGTGTGTGGAGCCACTTCCTCCTTCCGTGAGGTGAATTCGGCCCACGAGTCTTGAGACTCCACCTCTCACAGCAGAAAGACAACCTTGCGGGGGGGAGGGGCCTGGAGCACCAGTGTGGGATCCCTACTGTGGGGGGAGGGCGAGGGCAGACCTGAGTCAACAGCCCGCCTGCAAGATGGTTGCGGAATGTCCATGGACCGCTCTTTGACAACCACTGCTTTAGAAATTAAATGTAATACACGTTTCAAACAGAAAAGCTTTGCTATCTTTTTCAAAATGATATGTAAAGATTAGAAAAAGGTTAGTATAGGGAAAGGCTAGGATTTTCCTTTGTGTATTTTAATTGGCATCTTTTCTGTTTTCCCCAAAAAAAGTATTCAACTTTGGTCTGATAATCTTGTTAAAAATCAGTTCACAGTTTATTTGTATAAGTGATGTGGGGATGTTAATCCCTATTTCATATCAGAAATAAGAAAGGAGATTTATAGATAGCTGTTTACTTTTGTTTCACGTGTCCCCCTGAAATAATATTATAGCTATAGTTTTTCTCCTTGAATAAATTCCCTTTTCCGTTTAATTTTCTTTGACTGATTTCAGTGTAACCTAATATTAAGATCATACATAAAATTAGTACAAAGTGAGAGTTACATTAGACAGAGGGATGAGACTGGTAAGCAAAGTTCTAGCAGCAATAGTTAGACATACGGAATGTATAAAAAATGAGTTAAAATGGGAAAGACTGCCCTTTGGGTCCCAACCACAGAACAATCCCAATTCCTTTCCACCCACTCCTTTTCCCAGTTTCTCCATGCACAAAGCAAAAGCAGACACAGGGTTGCAATTGTAAAAAATTTTGTGGGAACCTCTCAGATAAAAAGAATTATAACTTGGATTGTAGGACTTTGATTCAAGTAATGTCTGGAGCATTGTTAAATAGTCATACCAGTAATGAGAACTCAAATCATAAATCAACTCCTTTCTGAATCCTAAAATGTTTCTTCTTCTGCAGACAAAATCTCATAAAATTCACCCTTAGCCTGCCTTAAGTCAGGTGCAACACTTTGTCATTAAAGATGACTCTGCAGGACATGCCTTCTCATTGAGCACAGAAAGTCATGTAGCATGTTAATGCTGGCTTTGGGATATCAGATTCTTGCTATTGCCCCACAAAAGCGATGTCCTAAGCATTTTGCACATGAGTTGATATAACACAATCTCAAAATGCTGCATAGCTCAACTAGACATAGTGTCACATCAAGACCTAAGGTCTAACTGTTACCAAGCCAAACCATCTGGATTTAGTTTTAGTCTAAACATTGGAGCAGTGTGAAATAAACTGATCAGCAGGGATCCTAGAAATCTGTCTGCCACTGAAATATGTGAAAAAAACGCAGAAGTTGCCTTTCTACAGAGAATCTTTGTTTTCTACATACAGCAGAATCCCCTGCCCCGGCATGCACACAGGAATATGAGAAATTCATGCTTCAGCCCCAGCAGCAGGGCTCGGGCTTTCAGCTTTAATTGTAGAAAAACACAGATTTGGGGGGGTTTTATAGAGAATTTTGGATTTTTTATCATGGAAAAACTAGGATCCTTGCTGATCAGGAGCAAAGTGTGTTGCATATTCGTAAGGTGCACAAATGCAAGAGGCAAAGTGAAGGGGATCAGCATCACTCCATTGTTACTGGAATATACACATCCAAGCCATTCAAATGGCATTCAGCCCAGGATGTGGAGAGATGACATAAGCACTTCAATGTGACCATAAGGCTGGAAAGATATTTATCTAGCAAGTTCAGAGGCCATTCTTGGGGAGTTTAAATGTAATACACGTTTCAATGTGGGAGGGAGGGATGGGAGAAATGTGGAAGCTTTGGCAAGATCTTTCTTCAGAGTTAACTAGTGGAAATCCCAGTGCTAACTAGTGGAAAATGTGTGAGTGAAAGACAATTCCACACCTAAATCTCCCCATCTCCTCCCCCCAAATGTCCTAATTCAAGAATTCAGTCACCTTTCCACTGATAACTAAGGGTAGAGATTTGGATGTCCAGTTCCCATTAATTGTAATTCTGCATGCTTACATTGGCTTAATACCTTTCTGATAACACTATTGGAAATTATTTGCTTGTAGAGCTGCAGGTTGAACCTCTCTAATCCAGAACTTTCTCATCCAGAAACATCTGTCATCCAGAATGATTTTAGTTAGCTGGATGTCCACTTTTCATAGGTGTAGCCAAGTTTCCCATGTTCCCATAAAGTTGGTTTATAGCCACCAGTCCTGGTTCTCAGTGTTCTGTGCTGTTATTTAGCTCTAATTTACCCCTAAATGTCCTCTAACAGTGCAGTAAGCTGTGGAAGTGTTTGCAATGCTGCTAAACAATATTGATCTCCTGTGGTCTGGCAAATTCTCTTGTTCAGAATCAGTCAGGTGCTGAGGGTTCTGGAGGTTCTAGAGAGGTTCAACCTATAGTTCTGCCATCTTTACTAACATTGAAGAAACCCTGTGGGTTATTTGTGGATTAAGACTTAATAGCCTGGTCTACACTAGACCAGGCTGGTTGGCTTAAGGTACGCTGTCCAGCTTTCCAAAATGTGAACCAGTGGGAGGCTGACAGGAGCATATACTCCCTTCGGTTTCCCTTACTCCTTGCAGAAAGACAAGTACAGGATGCTGCAGGGAGCTGCTCTCAGCATTCACTTTGGAGGTCTACACTAGACCAGCTAAATCAAACGCTAGAAGTTAGACCTCGGGAGGGTTGATCTTCTCTGTAGAGTAGACATACCTAGTATGACTAAGGGTTTTACAGAGTGTAATGTCTGAAGCTTTACTGTAGAGTAGACATACCTAGTATGACTAAGGTTGTGGAAATGTCTGAAGCTTTCCATATTATTGCTATTGGCTATATCCAGTTCTTGCAGTGCCTGATAATTTACCAACTCTTTTCCAAGCAAATGACTTTGATGCATCAAGGAGAGATATTTAATTAGTATCTGGGTGACACAAAACAAAAGCCCTGGCAGAGAATCTCCCCACACTTCATTGCACTCATAACCTGTTGTGCTTGAACCACAGATGCAGAATGATGGCTTTGGAACTTTTTGGTTTCTCCAAAGGGATTTACCCACCCTGCTGCTGCTCTACTTACCTGTATTGCATTTTCCTTATTTCTCACAGAGATGCCTTAACAAAAATGAAAGACGTCTACATCAAGAACCCGCAGATGGGAGATGCAGCCAGTGTAGATTACAAACTAGCTGAACTGGGACAAAATATGGAAAAGCTGCGATTAGAGGCTCAGAAATTTGAGGTATGGATGGGGTTTAAGTACTAATGCCCTTTTATGATGGTAGCTTTGAACAAATAGTCCCTGATTCAGGAAAGGATTTAAGTGCATACTTAACAGGGATGGATTTAAGTAAGTGCTTAAAATTAGGCAGCATTTAAGTATTTTGCTGAATTGGAGCCTTAAAGCAGGGGTGGGCAAAAGGCCTCCACAGAGTCGGATTCGGCCCACCAAGCTGGTTGATCTGGCCTGCAGAGGCCATGCCATGGCCCTGCCCCCAGGCCAATCAGGGCCTAGGGATGGGGGAGCGTGTAGCGCTTAGAGTCATCCCTGGTGGTTGACTCTAAGCACCGCGCGCTGGAGGGCAGGGAGCAAAAGATTTTGCATGCTTCTCTCCCCTGCTCCCAGGCCAATGAAGGCCTGGGGGCAGGAGGGGAAGCGTGCAAAGTCTCCTCCTGCCCTGCTCCCACAGTGCCAGGAACATTTGCGCACTCCCCCCACCCACCAAGCCCTGCTGCTCAGCTGGTGATTGTCTAAGTGCGGTGCTTCCTTGCAGGGCGGGGGCAGGGAGTGAGAGACTTTGTGTGCTCCCTCTTCCCCAGGCTCCAATTGACCTGGGGCAGTTGGGGGAGTGCGCAAAGTCTCCTCCCACTGCCAGGGGCGCAGGCGCCTAGAGGGAACCGCCAGCTGTTCAGAACAGCTTGGCAGTTCTCACTGGAGCGGGGGTGAGGGCAAAGACTTTGCGTGCTCCCCCACCCCCAGGACAATCAGTGTCTGTGGGTGGGGAAGCATGGAAGTATCCTGGCCCCGCCCCTTCTGCCTGAGGCCTTGCCCCTTCCGGTGGCCTGGGGCCACTTCAAAAATTTCTGAAGTGGCCCCTGGTCAAAAATTATTGCCCACCCCTGCCTTAGAGCCACCTTTTAGCATAACTATATCTTGGATCCTTCCTCTGTATTTGTCAGACAACTAGATTTTCCTATCATTTGTCACAGAAAATAGGTTATATAGATCAGGGGAATGCAGGCAAATGCCCCGAAATGCACTGATACTCTTTTAAGGGTAGGTTAGATAAATGTCTTTCAGGGATGGTCTAGAGGGTACTGGGTCCTGCCATGAGGACAGGGGACTGGACTTGATGACCTCGTGAGGTCCCTTCCAGTCCTAGTATTCTATGATTCTTGTATATGCTACAGTATCAAGTTTTAAATGCCTCTCAGAAGACATAGACACCCGGTGAAAGCTCAGAAAAACTCCACTTTAATCCTTTCATACCCCAGGTGCATTTTGCCAATCTGATATCTGATGGTGGTGAAAAACTGATGGGCACCAAAAGCTTAATCTTCACCCAACCCCCACCCAGATATTGTGGGGATCCAAAACAGGGTAAAAACAGTCTAAAGAATCTGCTAATTTAAGTGTGATGAGAGTCCATGGATTGTGCTGGCTAAGTCCTTGTCATCACTATCGTGTTTTGTTGCCACCCCGTGAGAAACTTTTTTCTTTCTCCATCACTTTATTGTCACAAAGAGCCAGTGTAGACACTGTTGTTTGTTTTGTCGAGAAAACAAAGAACAGATAATTGGAATGCTCCATCTCTGCCCTGCACTAGGAACACTGCAACAGGCAGACTGCTGTCGTACGGGACTGGGGGGGAATGGGGAGAGACTGCTGCACGGACTGGACATTCCTCCAACTGGGCTCAGAACTACTCATGATGTTGCTCCTAGCAACTGAGGAGGCTGAGGGAGAATTTGGAAGAATTTGCAGCAATCAGCTCTGCCTTCCCACAGCACTGCACTGTGGGATACATACCCCCAGTGCATTGCTCACTGTCTATGATGGCGCTCCCAAAGTGAACACAGTCTGTTAACAGAGGGAACAAGTGTCAGTTTTTGTTTTGTAGACTTTTGGGCGTTGTCATAAATTTTGTCAACAAATCTTGGTAACGTAGACAAGGCCCAGCTGAACAGAAAGCAAGAGATGAAGCACATTTTAAGGAACAATCCTCATTGTTAACAGAAAGCGTTTTAAAGATACAAAGACTCTGGAATATGAATAATAGTTGGAATAACGGAACCCATGATAGACAGAAACTATTGTAATTAAGGCAGATGAATTGTAAGGACAGGGAAGGACTATATTCTGTTTGCTATGGAGTATGCTGTGGATTTGAATGCACACAGCCAATTATGTTAGTTTGCCTTATTCTCCATTGCTTGTGAGGCCCTGTTGAAAGCCGGTGGCAGCTTTCCCTTTCCTCCCAACTATTGTCCTGTTCCATTTGGCCAATAATGGAGTTTTTATTGGGTACTTCTGTGTTTCTAAAATTATCATGGCTTTCTTCTGTTTACCTCATTTTTCCAAGACAAGCAGCACTTCAGCCCAGTTACAGTAAACTACTGCTGTTAAGGCAGCAGGGGAAGATCACACAGGGTATGTCTATACTAGCCCCTAGTTCAAACTAGGGAGGCTAATGTAGGCATTCGAAGTTGCAAATGAAGCCCGGGATTTAAATATCCCAGGCTTTATTTGCATGTTCCCGTTCGGTCGCCATTTTTAAATGCCACTAATCCGGACTAACTGCCCGCGGCTACACACGGCAGTGAAATGGTAATTCGAACTAAGGACTTAGTTTAAAAATGGCGACCGAATGGGAACATGCAAATAAAGCCCGGGATATTTAAATCCCGGGCTTCATTTGCAACTTCGAATGCCAGGTAAACCACCCAGGTAAACCCAGGAGGCATACCTGGGTGGTCGACAAATACCTTTGATGTCGACACCCGCGCGTCCAGACTATCGCGCTGAGCCGACAAACAGCTGATCAGCTGTTTGTTGGCTCAGTGCGGCAGCCATGTAAATTTAAATGAAGCGGCGATTATTTAAATCTCCGCTTCATTTTACTATGTCGGGTAGCCTAATCTACGTGCCTCTGGCGACAGAGGCATGTAGTCTAGACGTACCCTTAGAATGCAGAATCTACTCCCCCTTGCCTCACGCAACAGCAAATTGAAGGTAAATTTAAATGTGTTTATGCTAGTTCCTTGCTTGTAGTTTGGTGGTTCGGGTGTTAGGTATAACTCCAGAGGGGCAAAGTAAAAGTACTTTGTCCTTTAGCTATCTAATGCATTTCAGTATGAAATCAGTTGCTTTTTCTTTGCAGGGCTGGTTAGCTGAGGTTGAAGGAAGGCTACCTGTACGGACTGAACAGAGCAGACGACAGAGTGGAATGTATGAAACCCAGAACACTTCAGCAGTCAATAACTGTGCACAGGACCGAGAGAGGTACAGTATCTGTACAGAGCTGGCCAGACAAACATGCTATTACTGTGACTCCTCTCTTAATTTCATTTTAGATGCAAATTCTTCTTTACAAGATGCTGTGATGCTGCAGCAATAGATGTATAAATCTTGCATACAAGAATCCTAATCCATGATGAGACTGCAAACCCCCACTCTAATGATTCCTTGTTTTGATACAGAAAATTCTAATTTGCCATAGCAAACATTAGGGAAATGCAAAGAAGAGTAATGTTTTCCAAAGCCCAGTTGGGTTCTGTCACTTCCAGGCATGCACTCAGGATAAAATTTACTCCTGTGCAGGAAGTTAGCACAAGGCCTGTTGACCGCTTATGTCTCATTTAGGACATTAAGTGGGATGGAAGTGATCCTTAAGTGTCATGCTAGCTCTCTGAATAGATATAAATTTCACCTCTGTACATCAGATTGAAGATGAGGGCCAGTTTTCTTTGCTGTTATGTCTGTACAAATCCAGAGTAACTCCACTGACTTCTGGGGGGTGCCTCCAGATTTGTAAGTGGCAGAACTTGTTCTTTGATTTGTTTGAAATGATTCCTGTGCAGAAGGACCAAGATGTTAAATGGGGTGGTTCCCAGCCACTGCACTTAGGATGAAATCCCATCTTTTCCCAGAAAAGATCCCACCAAACCACTTGAGAATGAAAAATTGGACAGGAAATCTCATGTGATCTGGCTGTCTCAGGAAACTTCTAATGCTGGCTGGTCTGGAACTATTCATGCCATTTGTTCAGTACATATAAGGCTCTCAGACATTACACACCACAATAGATAGATCTCTTAATGGAAATAACCTAAAAACTTAAAAGGGGAGATATCCAGGTGCCAAAACGCTCTGAGGCTATGTCTACACCGGCAGCTTCTTGCGGAAGAACATCTTGCGCAAGGGTTCTTGTGCAAGAACTCTTGCGCAAAAAAAGTCCACACTGCCATGTGCGAGCTGTGCTTTTGTGCAAGAGCATCCATGGCAGCGTGGATGCTCTCTTGCGCAAGAAAGCTCTGATGGCCATTTTAGCCATAGAGATTTCTTGTGAAAGAAATCCCTACTGAGCGTCCACACTGCCCTCTTGTGCAAGAGCTCACACCTGTTCAAAAAGAGCGTAGCTCTTGCGCAAGAAGCCGTACTGTAAATCATCTTGCGCAAGAGCGAGTGGGCAGTGTGGATGCTTTCCGAAAGAAAGGCCATTCTTGCGCAATAACCTGCCAGTGTAGCCATAGCCTGAGAGTGCCCAAAATCCTAGGCCCATCTTCCAATGTGAAAAGGATACTGAGCAATACATCCTCTTCTGTTGGAACAATCTTTCTGAGAATGCAGCATGCTTCTGTGTAGTAGTATGGAGAACTACTGCATTGGCCATGCAGAAAGGCAAGTGAGAGAGGTGCATTTGAAAGGCTTTGGCAGGAGGAGTTGACTGAACAGATTTCCCCCACCATGCTGGAAATGCCATGACTCACAATGGCGCACTCTGAATGTTCATCTAAATTATCACTCACTTGACCTTCAGCTTGCCACAGCTGAGTGTTCCTGGCAGGTATATTTTCCTCACCATACTGCTCCTGAGCTGGTTGCTATAGTTGCTGTATATTTTCCTTTCTTGAGCAGCCCAGATGGCAGTTACACAGAGGAGCAAAGTCAGGAGAGTGAGATGAAGGTGCCAATGACAGAGTTTGATGACGAGTTTGATGACGAAGAACCACTCCCTACCATAGGAACATGTAAAGCTCTCTATACATTTGAAGGTACCACTAACCCACGGGTTCCATTTCACTTCTTATTTATATTACAACTTTACGAATACCATCCAGGGGTTGCCGTTGTGCTAAGCACTGTTCACACACAGAATAAAAGACAGTTCCTGCTGTGAAGATGGGTGTATCATAGTGGCTTGTCCTGCCAGAGATGAAGGATTTGGGTCTAGCTTACTGAAGCAGGCAAACGGGAGAGGGATCAAATGATTCCTCTCTAAAAAGCCTCTGGTAGCTGCAGCAACGAGGGATGCTCAGAGAAAGGTAGGACTGAGCAGGCTCCAGTAGTACTTGGATTTGGAGCTAAGACTAAAAATGAAAGGACTGGGTCTAGCCTGCTAAGGCAGGAAAGATCACGAGCAAGCGAAGAGAAGAGTGCAGAGCCCTCAAAGCAGAAAGAACTGGGAGCAGTAAGAGAAATGCTTGTTCGTTAGACATAAGCTGAAAATAAACATGAGATCTCAAATGAATTTTCGCTGGACAAAACCAGGCCCCATAGAACAAGTATGTGGAGTCTGTGTAAGGTCCTGAAGAGGGAGAAACAGATGGGAGGACACTGCAGAGTAACTTCTGGCTACGATAGAGCTCTCAGGAGATAGTCAACCCCGTAACAATGGACAATGGCTTAGAGAAAGGATCTGCTGTTATCTCCATTGTATTGTTGAGCTGAGGGACAGAGATGCAAAATGACTTGTCCAAGCTCAAGTGGGGAATCTGTGTAAGAGCAGGAAGAGAACACGAGTCTCTTGCATCCCACATACTCTCTCTCTGTTGCAACATCACAGAGTGTGTGAGCAATTGTTCTTCCTTTTCGTACAATTCACACTTGAAGGGTAAGTTCCTGCATCCATTAAAGTTAATGGGAATATTCCTGCCAACTTTGTTGGTTGCAACATTTGGCCCAAATTATTTCACAAGCTCTTTCAGAGACTAGTGGATAGTTTGTTGAAGAGAGGCATTAAATGAGCAATTGTGAGTGTAAAGAATAGATTTTATGGAAGGATTATTTCATTTACATGTATAATATTCAGATGTAGACTAGATGAACAGATCCTCGTATCACTGCCAGACACAAGGGCTAGTAAATTTACCCTGTGTAGAGTAAATAGATACACTGGCCTTTGGTAGCTACATCTCAGCACAATAACAGTAAAGGCTGAATATTCAATACTAATTAAAAGATGTTCATTGGAGGCCCAGTTTGTGACACACTTGTGTCTACTTTTGACTGTATTGACATTTTGTGTCACAGGTCTGATGTCAGGGTTGCATTCTTCTGGTTCTTTGAATATATGCTGTTTTCTCCCAGTTATTGCTGCTCATGGTTAAGGGACATTGTATTCAGTACCTTTGCTGAGTTTGCCATGGTTGGGTCTGTATGTTTTCCCATGGACAGGAAATATTAAACTACTTTATACTTTGTGTCTCAGGTCAGAATGAAGGCACAATTTCAGTAGCAGAAGGCGAATTGCTCTATGTAATAGAGGAAGATAAAGGTGATGGGTGGACACGAATCAGGAGGAATGAAAATGAAGAGGGTTATGTCCCAACATCCTATGTCGAAGTCTATTTGGACAAAAATGCCAAAGGTGCCATGACTTATATTTAATAACATTTTTATTGCTTTGCTTGCTTCCACAGGGACATCCCACCCTCAAACAGATAGAGCCTTTTTAAGGACTACATAATGCCACAAAGTGCATTATTTCATACACTTAAATAATGGACTCATATGACTTTATGTACTATAAAATTTGATTTTGATTGGTTCAAGCTACTGAGTGGGATAAAACTATTACAGCCTTCTCTGGCTGATACAGCCTTCTCTGGATAGAGCTGTTATTGGAAACTGCCAGTATATCAATGTGGGAATTATAAGGCCATTCTTAATAACTATGTGTCTTCTCTAGCTATCCAGGTGATATTTTATAGCTACGCCTCGGCCACAGTCAGAAGTATGCTATTTGTTGCAAACTGACTCTCTGAAATGTTATCTATGAATGAGGGTGCTGTTTGTCTTTCAGTGAGGCAGCTTTTCAGAGCCTAATATACTGTCTGTGGGTCATGTACGTTGAGCCAGGGATCATCATGCCATTTGTTAGTATTTATGGGAAGTGGAGGGGTATGGAAAATGTAACTACAACATCTCCTACCATCCTTGATAAATCAATAGAATGGTGGCATTCAACTAGAATTCCCCTCTCCCTAGCTGCAGTTCAGAAAATTCTCCTTGAGGCATATGTTATTAATGAAGCACCACACAATTAGCTGTTTCATCCTCTGCTCATGTACACTCAAGGGAATATTTCAGAGCCTGGATTCATGCCTTTTGTTTTTCTGTTTCTCCTGTCGCTATTTACACCTCATGGCTGAGGGCCAAAAGTGAAAAGCATGTGCATGGAATTGTGTGTGTGCTGCTCCCTTCAGATATCTCCCTGCTGATTGATATAGCCCAGTGAGCAAGCAAAAGAGGTTATATCAATGAGGAAGTGGTCTCCTGCTTCAAATGAGGAAGATTTTGAAGTTCACTGTGAAACAGTTCGTAGATTTTTCAGTCATTTAATCCCGCAAGTTGCCGTCCTCTTTCACAGAGTCAAAGGACTGTCACAACCAAGTCTTTTTGTCCCTTTTGAAAGGAAGATGTAACTTTCATGCTGGACTGTAAGCAATACAAATAGAGGAGTTTCCTACACAAAATCATACAGTTAAATTAATTCACTCTACTTTGATTCAGTATTAAGCAATGCAGTACCATATCTTTATGAAATGGCAGCCTGCATTATTATGTGATCTTGCCATAATCCAGAGGTTTAAAGTTTGCTGTGGCAAAGAGAGGGTCAGTTGGATCTCTCCCTTTGCCAAGATAGTGTGTACGGAAAACTCAGCATCCTTTATCTTCTCATTACTCTTGCAAAGTGATATAAAATTGAATAAGATGTAAGATCTCTTTGGTTTAACCAAGAGATCTTACATGATCTAAAAATAAAAAAGGAGTCGTATAAAGAGTGGAAACAAGGTCACATTACAAAGGGTGAATATAAGCAAACAATGCAAGTATGCAGGGGCAAGATTAGAAAGGCGAAGACACAACATGAGCTTAACCTAACTAGAGACATAAAGGGTAACAAGAAGACATTCTACAAATATATTAGAAGCAACAAGAAAACCAAGGATAGGGTAGGCCTATTGCTCAGTGAAGAGGGAGAAACAATAACAGGGCAGTTGGAAATTGCAGAGGTGCTCGACAACTTCTTGTTTTGGTTTTTGTCAAGAAGTTTGATGGTGATGGGATGCCTAACGTAGTGAATACTAGTGGAAATGGGGTAGGTTTAGAAGTTAAAATAAAAAAAGAATGAGTTAAAAATTATTTAGAAAAGTTAGATGTCTTCAAGTCACCAGGGCCTGATTAAATGCATTTTAGAATACTTAACAAGCTGATAGAGGAGGTATCTGAATCTTTAACTATCATCTTTGAAAAGTCATGGAAGTCAGGAGAGATTCCAGAAGACTAGAAAAGGGCAAATATAGTGCCCATCTATAAAAAGGGAAATAAGAACAACCCAGGAAACTACAGACCAGTCATTTAACTTCTGTGCCAGGGAAGATAATGGAGCAAGTAATTAAGGATTTAATCTGCAAACACCTGGAAGATAATAAGGTGATAGTTAACAGCCAGCATGGATTTGTAAAGAACAAATATTAGAATCATAGAATCCTAGGGTTGGAAGAGACCTCAGGATGTCATCGAGTTCAACTCCCTGCACAAAGCAGGACCAATCCCAACTAAATCATCCCAGCCAGGGCTTTGTCAAGCCAGGACTTAAAAACCTCTAGGGATGGAGATTCTGCCACCTCCCTAGGTAACCCATTCCAGTGCTTCACCTCCCTCCTAGTGAAACAGTTTTTTCTAATATCCAATCTAGCCCTCTCCCACTGTAACTGGAGACCAGTGCTCCTTGTTCTGCCATCTGTCACTACTGAGAACAGCCTCTCCATCCTCTTTGGAACCTCCCTTCAGGAAGTTGAAGGCTGCTATCAAATCCCCCCTCACTCTTCTCTTCTGCAGACTAAATAAGACCAAATCCCTCAGCCTCTCCTCCTGCCGAGGGAGGTTGTGGCGTCTCCATCACTGGAGATATTTAAGAGCATCTATCAGAGGTGATCTAGATGATGCTTTGGTCCTGCTGTGAGAGCAGGGGACTGGACTTGATGATCTCTTGAGGTCCCTTCCAGTTCTAGTATTCTATGATTCTATGAATGCAGGTGCTGCCTATTCCATATATAGGGAAAGGAAGAATGCTCAGCATCTTATATCCCATCTTTACCTTTGTACTCCTGGTAGGGAGACTGCCTGCAAAGTAGGGCCTGCCTCAAGCACAGTGATAGTTGCAAGCGTAGACTTAATTTTTGTCCAGAAAATT